CGGGCGGCGGAGCCAGGCCGGGCCCTGCGGAGGCGCTGGCGGGTCCCGACCGAGTCCCCCGGGCAGCGCCCGGTGCCCCCGCCGGCCGTAGTGCTCGTCCCTGGGGGTGCCGCCTGGCCGGGCGGGGGCGAAGGGCCGGACTGTGCGGTAAGTCGGGCGGCAGGCTTTGGAAAGCGGCCGGAGACTGATAATCCCCGCGCCGCTTCCCGGCAGCTTTCCCGTGCTCGGGAGAGAGGCGTGATTGCCGGGTGTGGCTGGGACAGCGTTTGCTCCGCAGGTGCTGCTTGTCTGGGGAGTTCCCCTGGGACGTGTTGTCCCCCGGCTCACCTGGAAACCTAACTGCGCTGAGAACCCAGCTCTCGTAACTTCGTTCTTGTTTCTCTTTGATAGTGATTTCTTTGCGTCAAAATTTCACCGGGGTGAAAGTGCAACTGTTGTGATTGGTAAGTTTCTGTTAATCAGAATTATGTCTAATGATAGCTGTCGTTTACACACTCCTGAAGGGAGGATGTGGTGAGGTGGGGGTCCATCTCTTCTACCGTGCCTGCAGTGGAAGGACAAGAGGAAATGGCCTTAAGCTGAGACGGGGGAGATGCAGATTCGATATTAGAAAACAAAATTCACTGTAAGGATGGCCGTGCACTGGAATAGGTTAGCCAGGAATGTGATGGAGTCACCAGCCTTGGACGTGTTTAGGAGGCATCTGGATCTGGCACTGGTTGATGTGGATTAGGGGGTACAGGGACAGTGCAAGGTGACCTTAAGATGATCTTAAAGGTCTCTTCCAACCTCAGTGATTCTGGGATTCTTACTGAGCCTGTACCTGTGTGCTAACTGTTCTAGAGATTTGCTAGGGCAGACAGAGCATGGATTCGGATGTCAGAGAGCAGAATGTTCATAGCTTGAATAAAGGGCTTCTCACTGTACTGAGTGATTGCAAATACACCCACTCTGCACCCTAGCAATTAAATGACACCAGTCTTGAGATGGGAAATCAGTGATTCTGGGATTCTTACTGAGCCTGTACCTGTGTGCTAACTGTTCTAGAGATTTGCTAGGGCAGACAGAACATGGATTCAGATGTCAGAGAGCAGAATGTTCATAGCTTGAATAAAGGGCTTCTCCTCACTGTACTGAGTGATTGCAAATACGCCCACTCTGCACCCTAGCAATGAAATGACACCAGTCTTGAGATGGGAAGGAGGATGGCAGAGCCAGTGTGGTGCCATATCTGATGTAGCCAGCCATGCTTCTCTCATCTTGACTGAACTAGGAATAGCTGTGAGACAGCTGTCTCACTTCTGGACATTGCTGGACTAATGTATGGATCCTGTACTGTTATCTACTGCTTTAAAATCCTTCTGTACAGCAAAGAACAGATTTCTGGAGTAAATTATGGGGAATAAACTGGGGAATAAAGACAAGAGCCCAAGTATGGGTTTTCAGGCAGTGCCGTGATACTCTTCTACCTCACAGCAGAGAGTCAGGGAGGAGCTTTTAACTTGTGGAAGTTAAAGGCCACTTGGGAAATGGTGACAGTAGTGAGGGACAAGATCTGTGTGTACCAGTTATGCTGTCCCCATTGACACTGCAGTCTTCCCTCTATCTGTTTCCATCTGGGACTGGAGAGTAAAATTACAGAATCACAGAATATGCTGAGTTGGAAGGGACTAACAAGGATCATGAAGTCCAGCTCCTGGCCCAGCACAGGACCATTGCCAGCTGTATCAGACATAAGGCCTACATAGAAAACCTTCCACTTAAGGTCAAAATTCTGGCTCCCAGTAGCTGGGGGAATAGGGACTATAGTCTGTGTTGCTTTTTTCAGTGAGAACTGACTGTATAATTTTTTTTCTAAACAGACAGCTGCAGTGGAACTCCTTACTGTTTTTTTAACCACATTGTAATAGAGGGAAGAGTAAGGAGCATACAGAACAAAATTCAGTCACAGTGAAAACAAGAAATATATTAATGGTAGTTGGAAATATTAAAAACACTGATAGTCTCAGGCTCTTGATCTGTTCCTGAGGGTTTTTTTTATTATGTATCATTTAGTGAAAGAGTTGATGCAGTTCTCCTTATCCAGTTTTATGTTGGGTGTGCAACAATGACAGACACTGCCAGAATGTGCCGGCTCTCAAAGAAAGAAGAAGCAGCTGGAAAAGTTAGATTGCAGAACAGGAATAATTGAACTAAGAAACTAAAGATATAGATTTTTTTTTTTACTCCATAGTTTAGAAATAACACAGATGATGGTGTCTGATCTACTGTCAGTTCATTGTCATAAACTGTGTGAGAGAATAGAAGTTACCAGATGGTCTGAGTCACAGTGCAGAAACATATTTTTGTTTTTAGGTAAGTTTGAAAGCAGAAGAGGACTTTTGCATGGTGTAAGACTCATTATGAGTTTGCTGTAAAATGACAGGGATGATATCTACAGAGAACTGCACCATGATAGTGATGGGTTGTGGGTCCAGGGAGTGATGGAGCAAGTCTGTCACTGCCCACTGCATTTCCCAGAAACTACAGCAGGACAGAATACTAATTAGAAGTTTGGGTTTATAACTTGTATTGGTGTTATCTTTCTTTGCCTGTGCTTGGGGATGGGTTGGGGAGTTGGATTGGAAAAGGAAAAAAATGGATTGCCTGTTCTTCCTTTTATCTCTGCTTACCAACTGCTGAAAACTGTGCTTGCCCTTGGTAAGGTCAATAATATCTATCGGGGTTTTCCTAAGTTGGAAAAACCCATATCTTTGCAGCATATTATTGAATTCCTGTTTTGGCTGTGGTGTTTCCTAAGTAACTGGGTGTCAAGAAACAGATTTTCTATGGAATTGAAGAGGACCACATTTGGCCCATGAAGCACAGTGATGGATTTTAGTATCCTGTAGAAAAACTGAAGGTAGATCCTCCATGTCAGATGCTTTCTGGTTTTGAGTATTTTCCTACAGAACTGAAGAATAGAGAGGAAATGCATTATCAGTGTACCTTATTTCCCACTATTTCAGCACTGTCTAGGATTTACTGTGGTAGCATAACCAGTGTTGAATTGATAGTTTGTAATTTAAAACTAGCATATCCTTTGTGCCATTCACATATATTTTCCAGTGTTCTTCCTGTGCAGTACTTTGCAGAGGAATGCAAGCTTCAAAGACTGAAAATAGAAGAAAAGCAGAACCATTCTACTGGCTGTCAGTGGCAAAGCCTAAGACCAGTTCTGAGATTGTAAATGAAGCCAGAGATGCTCTACAAACAGTAAAAACTCAAAGGCTATTCACACCTACAGATGAACAAAGGAAACATTTTGGGTCTCAATCCTCACAATGTCCTCAAAATAGACACCCTCTACTTTATAGGTACTGTGGCTTTCAGATGTTTTCAAATATCCTTTAGTAGCAAAAGATTTAATTCTCTAATTATCTAATTATGCTTCTGGTGGTTATTTTCCCTGTGTTAATCTGTATTCCTAATCACATCCTTTGCCTTCTTCTAATGATCTTTACTGTTGGTGTTAATCTACATGTCCAGGAAGTTTCTCTGGATTAGAGCTACCAGAGGCAGTCACTACACCAGTTTTTTATGTGTAGAATAGTATAAGAAAATAGTCTGTTACTTACCTTTTCTTGAGACAATTGAATGCTTTTAATTGAGATAGTCTCCAGCTTTTTTCCTAGAACATGTGAAAGCTTGCTTGTTTCCTATAATGTATGTGCTAGATCTTTTTTCAGAACCTTCTGAGATCTTTTAAATATGAAATTTTAGGTCCTGCAGTTTGAAATGCTCATTTTCAAACAAAGTTTTTGCTACCTCAAAATTATTTCTAGGTGGAGTTTTGCTACCATGATGTGCTCTTGTCACTTTTCCTTTCTTCCCTTTCCCCATATTCACTGGCAAAGCGAAGGAGCATGCAATTGAAAAAAAACAGCTGATCACACAACTCTGGATCTGCTTTATTCTAACTATGTTTAATTTCTTTGTTAGTCTTGATACTTCTGATTCGTCTGAATCAAGACCGAATTCTGCTGTTCGTCTAAGTCCACTGACTCACGTAAGTACTCTGGAAATAACTCATGCACTACTGGTATAAAAATGTGTCTTGTTAGTGTTAGGAAAATAAATGGTTTATAGACATTTGGGGAAAATGGAGGCTTGTTGTAACATTAGTCTGAGACTTATAAAGTCAATTTTGTCATTTTTCCTCCAAAAGAAACCCGAAAATAATTTAAACTACTTAACTATCGCTGTATTGCTTTGTGATTCAAAGTGACATTAACAAGAATTGGAAGACTGATACTTGAGTCAGCTTTCTTGTGTAAGTTTACTAAAATAGGTGAAGTTCATGAGTGTGAACATGTGCCAACAGCATGCCCTGGCTGTTAAGAAGGTGGCTGATAGTGTCTGGGGCTGCATTAGGAGGAGCAGGTTAAGGGAAATGATCCTTCCTCTCTGCTTGACACTGGTAAGGCCACACCTGGAGTTCTGTATGCAGTTCTGGGCTCCACACTATAAGAAAGACATGGATCTACTGGAGAGAATCTGATGAACATCCTTCAAAGGTGATGAAGGGACAGGGAGAGATGAGAAAATTCAGCCTGGAGAAGACCAAGGGAGGACCCTATCCCTGGATGTAAATACCTGAAAGGCAGATGCAAAGAGGACAGGACCAGCCTCTTTGCAGCAACTGGACCAGAGGCAGAGGGCACAAAGTGGGGCTCAGGAGGTTTCCTCTGAACCTCAGGAAACAGTTTTCCTGCTGTGAGGTGATGAGGCCTTGGCACAGCTTGCCCAGAGATCTTCAGAAGTTTCTTGGCCATGGTCCTGGGCAACTGAGTTTAGGTGGTTGTAGTTGAATATGGGGCTTGGACCTGCAGAGGTCCTTTCCAACCTCATTTATTCTGTGGTTCTGTGAACAGTAACTTGAAGGTAACTAGGTTGCTTTCTATTTGGCTTACATTTCTATAAAATTTCATGATTGTAGTTTATTTCAAAACAGATAGAGGTCCTTTAAGAACCACTTTTCTCCCTCTGTGAAAGCTGTGAATTGTTTTCAATTTATAAGTGTATCTGCTCTTTCACAGTTTTTTTTTTTAATATTTGGTCTTTAAATATAAGATTAAGTCACGACTGTTTGTTCAGTACCCAAGATAACAGAGTGTGCTATAGCAATTAAATGTGCTTGCTGTATACATAGCTTTTTCCAGACAGGAACCTTTAGGAAATTCTTTAGGAAATTAGGGGAAATATCCAAGAAATTTTATACTTCGGTAATTTGGATAGGGGAATGTATTTACATGAATTGAGTTTAAAAATTCTGAGCATGCTTCTATTTAGATTAAGTATATCAACATTTGGATTTAAGAACTGGTGTTAAATTTTCATGTATTTTGTGAGAGTGGAAAAAAATTAGAGAAAACTACTGACCAATGCAAAATGTGCTTTTTTTTTTTTTTCTTTATCAATGGCTATAAGTTGTAAATTAAGAGTTTGTATTAATTATGGTGGTTGTAAGTAGTCAGTCTCGCCTGTTGACTCCTTAATACTGTGGAGAGCTCTGAAGGATCGGCTGGAGACTTTCTAGTGGATTCTTTATTTTAAGGAGATTGGTATTGATTTTAGAGGTCAGTGCTTTTATGTAGGTCCAGGGCACAAGAAGTGCTTGACACTAGAGGTTCAGGGAATTGTTCACCTCCTCTAAGGTGCAAGACACTGACATAAAACTAGGACTTGATGTCTCTGGATCTGCATGATTTGTGTCAGTGTGATAGAAAGTAGTACATATGATGTGAACATATTTGGAGTGTTTTGGAAATACTGCTTTAATGCTCAAAAGCAAATAAAAGAATAGATGTATCTAGAATTGTTAGCAATAGTCATTGGCACAATATTTTCTTTGATAAATAAACTTGCTGCAGATGTAGTTAAATGAGTACTTATGAGGAATAAATAATTCTGAGTTCTACTCAAGCTAGGTTTTGTTTTCTGCACCCCTGAGTTTTGGCTTTCTACGGTGATAATGGTATAGACATCTAGTTTGTTTGGTGGAATGGTATCATTAGATTCAGGATATGAAAATTTCTTAATAAGCAAGCCAGTGTAACTTCTGTTCTATTTTGAACTTAGTCCTTTGTTAGAAGTTATGTGGGTTTCTTTTTCTTTATTTTTTACTTAAATGAAAATTAAATTATCTGTGCTTTTGTTTAAGAGTCTTCTTTATTTTTGTCACAGAAACCAGTAGTAATAATTTCTGAAAAAAAAGATGAAGCTTCTTCTGTTTTCCATCCAACACCTCCTGCTGATGCTGCAGAGGTTAGAAAAGTCAGCAGTGCTTGCAAAGGCTTATTTAGAACACCTTCTCTGAAAGATTTATTTTCTCCTAAGGTGGTTCCTCTGGATCAGAGTAAGAATGTTTTGATGCATATTATTTGCTAGAAAGATAACTGCATGATGGGTTTTAATATTGGTAATTACATGAATTATTAATACATTAAAGGACTTGTGTGTCCTTTCAGTGTGAATTCTGGAAGTATTTAAATGGGTTTAAGGCAGTTTTGAAACTGTGGCTTCCCAAAATTATGCTGGCTTGCACTTGAAAATGAGTTGAAAACTACTCAGGTGCCTCTTCTTCCTATAGGTTTCCAAGTAATGGCATCTTACTGAAAGTTGTTATCAGTGAGTAAAATTAACATTAAATGCTGACATGCTTGAAGAGATAATGAGATGCCATCATCCAAGGAGATTCCCTGATGGATTATTGAGCCTAAAAGGTGGAATAAAAAGAAATTATATATCTTGACGGGCCTCCAACTACATCGTATTTGTTGTTAAGAGTTTCATTAGTGGTGATTTAATAAAGGTCACCAAATGTGGGATTTAAAAGTAATTTTCTTGAAGATGGGAAATGGCATCTTGGCTTCCTGCATGTTGGCTCATAATAAAGAGTGCTGGGACTGTCTTTATTTCAGAAGACTCATTTATAATGACAGTTCTTACATCTAACATGGTTGTTATTTACATTATAAACTGAGTATCTCACTTTTTACCTACTAAACTTTACTTCATTTTTATGTATTTATTCTATAAATATATCTTTATATAATGTGTCATTTCATATAACTTTAATAAGCTGGTGTTACTAATCGAAGAAGTTGAGAAGGCAGTGTACTTGTAACCTGCCTTGGTCTCTTCTCCCATTTCGGGATCATGCAAATGTTATGTGAGGGGTTTTATTTGTGGAGGTTCTTCTTGTATGTGCATAGAAGCTACAGGATTAACAGATACCTTTTTCCTGAGTTCCTTCATAATATTCAGGTCCTGAAATACAATCACTTTTTTTCTCCAGGTACAATCCACCTATTTGTAACGGGGGAATAAAGAAGATGAAATATTAGAACTTTAAACACAACCCCAAAAGACTTTAAGAGATACTGTTCATAAGAAGACCTTGACTACCTTACTCTTAATAGTCTTAAGCTTTTTCACCTTTTAAATTGATACACGTTTTGATAATGTAACATGGCAAGTAGTAATTAATAACACTTGAACAAAATGTGTTCTCTCTGACTATTTCAGATGGAGTGAAACTTGATTTTGAAGATCCAACTATGATGATGAATAGTCTTGACAGAAGTAATAGTAACTGCTTAGCAGAACAAAAGTTGTACACATCATTTAATGATGAGAGTAGACAATTAATTTGTAATGAACATACCAGCAGATTAGGAAGTGAAGACTCCATGGAAGGAACACCAAGAAACTTTTCACTTCAGCTGCAAGGAGAAAGGTCAGCATTGGTCAAGTATGGTAATGTGCATTTTCCATACAACCTTCTTCCTAGGTACTCAATTGTGCAAGTATCAAAATGCTTAAAATTAATGATATTTGAAGATAACATTACATATGCTTTAAAATGAAACTGTGTTTAGATTATTAGAAAAAATTGCATTTCTTCTTTTACGAAGTTTCTACATTCAAAAGACAAATTTTTAAAATATTGTTGGTAGAAATTTGTTCAATGTGCTTTGTTTGATCATTTACATTTCAAAACCAGGTCCTCAAAGAAATCCTCAAGTAAAACCCTCAAGTTTAAATTTAATGTGCTTTCTTTTGTAGTTTAGTCCTGTTGTTTTAAGGTGCTATACCATCTTCACCTAGCTTGACAGGTGAGTAGAGCCATGCTTTCAGTTCTGGTATGTGATCATACACCAAAACCAGGCTAAAACTCTTCAGCAATAGAAGCAGATTTTTTTGTGACTTCAAATTTTTAGGGGTTTTCTTTGCATGACCAAATAGATAAAAGAGATTAATGAGACTCACATGCCTGTAGCCTGTTTTTACTGGACCTGGAATATCGTATCCATTCTTTAATTAATAATCAAATAATTTTTCTTTTGATTCAGATGTGAATTCTTGCACAGGGAGGAATAGTCCTGAGGCACTGTGTATAGTTGGTGTATCAGTTGCTGCATTAGCAGTCAGATGAACAACTGTTTTGTGCTAATAACATTGACAGATCCGGCAATGTCAGAAACAAATAAATGAAAACCACTTCATTTTCAAAACACATCCTTGTAAAACTTGTTCACTATTAAAAATATGTATTTGGCTGTAGATATCTTCTTTCTAGCATGTTTGTATACTTAGGGAAAAGCTATTTCCCTGGATATTCTTAAGCACCTTTGATATTAAAGATTATGTTCTTAATTTTATAAAATGAAAGGCCTTTCGTTTACTAACTTGCTAGCACTTAATAGTTTAAGAGAATATTGTCCATTGAAGCTGTTATAGTAAATGATACATAACAGAGCTATCATAGGACTCTTTTATATTAAACAGTAAGCAGGACTTTTAAAAAAGACAGATTCTAAAAGAATGAAGACTTGTTATAGCAAAGAAAAAAATCCATGAGTGTGGAGAAAGAATGAGAAATAAGAGCAGAGATGAAAAATGTAGGTGAAAAAAGAAAAGTTAAGCACCAAAGAATACTTTACTGCAATATAATTTTCTCTCTTTAAAATCAGTGATCTAATAACTTCGTAGATAAAGACTAGTTGGATTATCATACTGCATAAATTACTGTAGTTTGAGTTTTATTTAATAAAGGCGTGGTGTGAAGTACTTCAGTGTTGCAGTGGAAATGGATAGATTCTTTTGTGAAATATGCATTCTGCTGTGTTCAGTTCTGCTTTCTGTTTGGGTTGCTGTTTTGGTTGATGGTGTCCAAGTGCCTCTAACAGGAAAGGGTCAGTTGTTATTTTTGCTAATTCAAAAGAATGACCTTCCTTCTCAGTCCTAATTTCAAGACTTGTGTGTATAATTGAACAGCTAACCTATTAGGCATGCTTCCTGTCTGTTCAAAATTGTACACTTCTCCTTATCAGAACAAGAGCTCTGCAAATTTTTGGGTTTGCATTTTTATTACTGGTGCTTTTTGCAATCATGAATCTCATACATCAGTTAAATTAGATCTCAAATTACCAGTCTTAACATTGCTGTTAAGCATCTAATCCAATATTGTTCTGACTAGTTTTCTCCAAAATGGAAGAGAAATATAACATTCCTCCATCCTTCTGTGTTGAATGCAAGATCTATATTTTTGAATGGCCCATTTTTACCTCTCCTGTGAGTCCTCTTCTGTGTAGTCGAGTCAGAGCTGATTTTTGCCAATGCTTAGGAAGCAAAGCTTCCTGACACCATTTAGGTGCTCATATGGCTTAGAACACCACAGGTATCTGCTGTGCTGCAAGATACACAAGAGTAATACAAAATGCTTCCCCCTTTAGCCACAGACAAAGGTCTCTTATACAGATCAGCCCAGGCAGTTTGTGCCATCATGTGATGGGTGTGGATCATCTCAGCTGCTCTCACAGGTTCTATCTTCTTGCTAAGACCAAACACATCAGTCCAGTGTTTGTGTATGATACTACACAAGTCAGGCGGACCTTGTGTGTGCTTGGGTGATGTCATTCTTCATCTGACACAGCAGTTGAAAGGTACCACAGACCTAGCCTTCCATATAGTTTGTTGAGTTTGGTCTTCATGATAGTTGTATGTAAATGGCTCCAGAACCATAGAGGGGCCATTGCAGTGGGAGATTTTGCATTCTTTCTCAGTAGAACATGTTTAGTAGATGATTGTAAGGTTAGATTGCACCTGGTTCTGTATCATAAATACTTGAGGCATCTGTATAGGGTTACAAGATATTTTCTATTTAAAGTACATTGCATTCAGGAGTAATAGGATGAAAGCTTAAAGGAATGTCACATCTTTTATTATCTAGTGTCCTGTCTTTTCCTATATGAAGCAAGTGTCAGACTCAATTCTGTATCGCCATGATTTAAAATCCTTGCAGGAATTAAGCAAGAGGGTTGTAGATATAGTACACTCCATAAAGGGAGGGCGTGGGGCTTCCTACTCCCCTTTCCCTACAGTTCCTATACATGTACTGAAATAACTTCCCTAATGAAAATGTTTTTCTGCTAATGAGGAAACAGTAGAGCATGGCAAAATAGCATGGCAGATTCCTGCCATTGGTGCTATTATATTTATTTTAAAGACAACAGAAGGGAGGTGTTCTATTCCAACAAGAGACTTGATCACTTTCTGTCTCACATTCTTTTGTTGTCTCCAAGACTGAAGAAAAGAATGAACAGTGCTAGTGAAATCACAGCTGCCTTGTAAAGGTACTGGAGGAAAAAAGAAAATGACCTTTTGAGGGGAAAAGCCATTTGCCATTTTGTTTGCAATTCTGTTTTGCAAATAACCTTCTAGATGTAATAGAATAGGTATATTAATTGAAACAGATTGAATTTATTGACATGTTGCCTCAGGAAAGCTAGGAACAATTTCTGGCAATCAAGGAAGCTCAGTTTTGTTTACATCTTCCTCTAACCATTGTGCCTTGCCATCTATTGTGATTGCTATAGAAGTGAAACTTCTAAAATGTTTTCTGCATTTATATATAAGTGTCAACAGTGATGGCAGATTTGCTGATGAAGAGCAACAGTTTCCTGGGTGTGAAAGAATGATGATTTTTTTTTCCTACTCCAATTTCTCAGTATTCTGAAAGCTTAGATGTCATTCCAGGACTTCTTAAAAGCAGAGGTGCCTTGAGTGAGGAAGAGTTTGGAGGCAAACAGTTCATTCCCAAGTGGCCTGTTCTTTTTTAGTAAGTGAGTTTTATAAAGAGCTACAAAAGGATTAGCAGGTACTGTAAAGAAGATATACTGTGCCCTGTTTTCTCTCACCATTGCTCTCTTTATTAATTGCCTGTTTTACAGTATCCTTGAAATCTATTCTTTCATGAGAGTAGTTTCTCTTTCTTATGCTTTTTTAGAATTTTGGAATATTTCAATAGAAAATGATAAAAGCAAAGGATGAAATGGTAAAGTGAATCATATATTCATAGAATAGGGTGGGTTGGAGGGAACCGCTGGAAATTACTTCTCTCTGGTTCCTTAAACTACCTTCACATCTGTGCTCAAAATATACATTCTTTTTCTCTTCAAAGAAAAGGATTCCCACAGAGGAGAGAGATTTTTTTCCTGAGGGGAACACCCATTCTCTTTTGTTCTGGATGATTTTTTTGAAATTAGTGGTATGGTGTGGCTGTTGGTTTGAAGTATGGTGTAGCTGACTCTCCAGACTTTTCTCCGTATTTTTATCTTTTTCTTTTTTTTGATTATGTAAATTGACAACTTTTGGAATTCTCATAAAGACAGAGAAACAGGTAATTAACCTGCTCCCAACTAATCTTTATCTATTTCTGCTTCAGTTCCACTGGCTATTTGGACCACTGATTTCAGAAATAAATAATTGAGTGGTGGGAAATCCTTCATAGGAGGAGCTTTCTACAGTGTTTTCCAGATTGTGACACCTACTCTTTAAAGAAGGTGCCTGGTTTGGTATAGGGTTAAGGGATACTGAGAGAACACTGTGAAAGAAGAATTCTTTTTCTCAGAACTTGTTACAGACTTCTAAAGAAAAGGGTGAAGAAAAGGGTAAGAGTTAACTTTTATCTCTGGTCTTTTAGCTCACAAAAGCGACAGTGGAGTTTAGGCTCATTTTTACCCTGTACTCTAAAGAGTCTTTCCACTCTAGCACTTAGTTTCAGGCCAATGTAATTGGTCTCCAAATCTGGGAGATCTAGGTCTTGAGAGTCCTTAATACCAACTGAATTGCAATTCTGGAATGGGATAGTGTGCCAAAGGGTAGACAAGAAATGTCAGTTCAGTCTAGGCAGACCTGTAGTAACAATGGATTTAAATTTATTTTCTGTTTAGAAATGCAATGTTTATTCAAGATTCAAGTTAGGAAGATGATGAGGGTGTGGTTTTCAGACTCAAATATATTTAGGCTAATGTTTTAGATATTTTTTATGGTTAGAATTAGATTGTCAATTGTCTGGTTGCCTAAAGATACTCTGCCACAAATAGATGCCATTAATATTTTCAATATTAGACAGAATATGCAGAGACTGTGAAAAATAAAAAGGATAAGGATAGAGGTTTTTCATCAAACTTGATTATTATTTTAAGTCATACTGTTTAACATGTGCATGAGGTTCTCCTTCAACAGCCTGTATAAATAAGAAATACTGTATTTTTTGTCTCTGCAGTTGTCATAAGAACTGAGTGAGCTATTCCCATGATTGTGTTTACAGGATTGTTATTTACTCATCTTTAGGATGACTCAGAGAGTTGGTCTATTTGTCAATATATTTTTACAAATTATGTTGTCTTTCTACTAGTTATATTTTCTCGTATCAGTGGTATCAGTTATACA